ATAATTAAGCAGAACATTTCATAGACAATGATGACTCTTTGTAATCATTGGATTACACTTTTTAAACACTTGAAAATTATTTTGAGTGGAAGAAAATTTCATACCCCCCCCCCCTCCTCCCCCGAGCATGCGCATTCATTATGCATGAAAACTTTTCCCGCTATAATTGCACCTTTAACTAAAACTGTATAAATTACATAAAAAAAAACGTCATAAATATGTTCAACATACAATCTATTGTACTAATATAAACAAATACTTCATATTCCAGTCAGAAAATGTGGCTAAAATTGTACAGTGACCTGAACTGACGACTGGAACAAGTACTCACCGAATATTCACATTTTCGACAAAAACGTTGTATAAAGTAAAAAAAGGACAAAAAACAAAAATAAACTAAAATACCTCAGTCTGAAGTAATCTTCTTCTGTGTCTTGGATGATGATAGAACGCTTTGATAAATCGCTTTGAAGGCTTTGCAAATGCAAAATGACTGCTATTCAAGTCAAGCTCAAATATCAGTCTGAGGAAGTCTCCTTCAAAGTCAGATCACGTGATTAATGCTGGTCAATATGGTCAATAGAGCGTGAAAACTATGAAAAGGTGAGAGAGGGAGGGGGTGTAAATTAGCTAGTAGTTAAAAATAACAAACTTGAAACAAGAAACCCAGGGGCCACATCGCTCACCTGAGCAACTAGCTACGCTAAAGCAAAAATCAGCTCAGTACTGAGAAGTTTAAATATAAAAAGTGGGTTCAGAGGAGGGGTGTTTGAAAAAAAAACAAATCTATACTTTTTTATGCTTTTATATTGATGACTTTGTTGTTCTTAGGAAGAAATTTAATAATTATTCCTATGTATTCCTACATAAAACCTTAATCGCTCATTTTGGCCCCACTCTATCCCAGGGGTCATCATGTGATTTGAACTTAAACTTGAATCTACACTACCTGAGGATACTTCCATATAAACATGAACAATCACAGCTTTGCTGCTCTCGAGAAGAAGAGTTTAAAAATCCTTCTTAAAACTTTGATCACCCATTATGTCCCCACCTTTGCCCCAAAAAATGAATTTTGAACATGAATGGGTCAAGTCTCCATTCTTCGTTAATGCTAAAATTACGGAAACGTAAATGTGAAATCTATTTCATTTGTTCAAAATTGTTGCGCTATGGAGACAGTTCGAATCATACGTGAGGCATTTTTCATGAACTTTTAGAATTGCGAAATGACTTTTTTTAGAGCGGGGGATCTCAGTGTCTGAAATATGCAAAATTACCACGAAAATTCGAACGTAGGTTATGGTGACCTACTCTTTGATACACTCCGGGGACTTAAAATACATCAACTGACAAAGTTTCATATGATCAAAGCTTCCAAAATATCCCCTAAATCTATTTGAAGCTGAATACCTGTAAAATTCAGAATGTGTCTCACCGTGAGCTACTTTAAAAAAAAATGTTTTAAGGCCCCAAGGTGCATCAACTTACAAGATTTGACGATTCTTAACTTTTTAGCTTACATGTTTACAAAATGATTTGCCATAAAATTCTAAAAGTAGGTCACAATGACTTACTTCTAGATTTGGTTGACACATCTTATTAGATTGGTTGACACTCTCCAAGGATCATGATGCATAAACTGAAAAGTTTTGATGATCGTAGGCTTCAAAGTGTCTGTTTTATGCATCAAATTCCAACTGAAAGCTGATTCTTTCAAGGATCATGAGTACAAATAAAAGCAATATTTGCGCAAAATATTCAAACCCATCAACTCTTAGATTTCTCGAGATATGAGCATAGGCGCTTGTTTTCATGATGATATATTCCTTGCATTTACAATAAACATAAAAAACGCTATAGTTACTTCTTTTCTACGGATATGAGTTGTGACAGACAGATAGACAAACGTCTGTTAAGTGCTCCTTCATTGTAGCCCTGCTCAGGCGACAAAAGAATGTCACTGTTGATATTGTAGATATATGGTTTGTATCTGAAATTTATTGACCAACAAGCAAATTCAAAGAATTATGGTCCCCCGCTTTCGGTGTCTTTGTCGGTGAGATGTCATTTTTATGACATGTTGTGTCAAATATGAATGCCATACCATATGTTATTTAGAAGTTATCACCGAACTTATTTTTTAAATTAGGTCAATCATGAAGGTCAGCACCTTTAGGGTTCAGGAATCATTACATGATCGGAAAAGTCTTGTCACGGGTAATGCACATTTCAAATATGAAAGCCCAATCTCTTCTCATTTAGAATTCGTGATCAAGGTTAAAGTTCTTGAAAAGAAGGTCAAACGTCCAGGTGAAGGCCACGAAGTCAAAAATCATAGTGTGATAAGGTAGGTCTTGTCACAGGTAATACACGTGTTTAAAATAAAAGCCCTATCTCTTGAATCTCTTCTTATTCAAAAGTTATGGGCAATTCAAAGTAATGTTCAAATATTTTGAAAGTAGGGCATACTTCAAGGACAAAGTCGTGGCGTCAAAAATCGTAGTGTATTTAGAAAGGTCTTTGACAGGTAATATACATGTATAATATAAAAGCCGTATTTCTTCTCATTCAAAAGATATGACCAAGGTTAAAGTTTTTTTTACGAACAAACAGACAGATTGGCAAAGGCGAGGGACAACAAGATATATGTTTGTGAAACAATAATGCCACCGTATGGCAGCTTACAGCGATGGTTGCGGTTCCTCTAATGCAAGTCAAACTTCAAGGTCAAAATATAGCCATCCAAAGAAAGTATTGTAAGAAGGAATATACCTGTGAAATATAAAACCCTAGTGCGAACTGTTCAAAAGTTAGTTATGGCCAATGTTTAAGTTTTTAAAAGTGGTTTATGGTCAAAAATATGTAAACCCACTGAATGGTCTTCTCACAATGAATACCCTTGTGGAGTATGAAAGTCCTAAGACAGAGAGTTCAAAAGTTATTGCCAAGGTCAAAGTGTGCTATTTTTTTATGCTGAACGAAGTTTTGGGGGTATATAGATTTTGTCCTGTCCGTGTGCCTGTCTGTCCGCAAAAACTTTAACCTTACCCATAACTTTTGACTGGATGGAGCTATCGCTTTCACAATCTCACGCGTATCACTTGTGACAAGACCTTTCTTTGGGTAACACCAAATTTGACATCTTGACCTTGACACATTTTTTACACCAAAATTCCACACTCTTACTTTGGCCATAACTTTTGAACGGTTGGTGCAAGGACTTTCATCCATCACATATGTATTTTTTTGTGACAAGCCCTTCCATTGGAGATCAAAAACTTTGACCTTCACCTTGGGCTATTGCTTTCACAATTTCACATGTGTATTACTTGTGACAGGACCTTTCTTTCACATGCACTTGGGGTATGGACCCCCCTTTCCATTTTTCTTTTCTTTTTAAATCTGGGGTCGAGTCACCTTTTCCCTATTTTTGTATTCTAATATGCACTACTCGCGTATTATCAATAATGTAACTCTTTTGTCTCTATAAGCTATTTTTAAAAATAGGACCATTACACGCTTAGTTTGGACTTTCAGTAAGGCGTGTCATTCTCGACTTTACCTAATTAGCTTCTGAAATTTACACAGCTTTCCTTCACTGTTGAAACATACATATGATAGAAATGCGGCCGAATGTCAACTGGTGTAGTAAATAGCTAATTAAAAGTTCTCTCAAGACACAGAGGTGGGACATAAGTCGTCTCATCGTTGTCATTTAAAGTTCCTGATGTTAATAATTTCTTAACCAATGAGAATCTACTTGTATTCGCCATTACGTAGCGCCGAGAATGCCACGCTTACTGAAAGTCCAAACTAGGGAGAAAATCGTTCTATCGTTTTCGACTGATACATGACAAAAAAGTTACATTATTGATAATATATAGTGCATATTAGAATACAAAAATAGGAAATGTGACTCGACCCCAGATTTAGAAAGAAAAGAAAAATGGAAGGGGTAAAACCAAATTTGACATCTTGACCTTGACACATTTTTACACCAAAATTCCACACTCTTACTTTGGCCATAACTTTTGAACGGTTGTTGCAAGGACTTTCATCCATCACATATATTTTTTGTGACAAGCCCTTCCATTGGATTTCAACAACTTTGACCTTGACGTACTTTTTAGAAACTTTAACTTTGTCCATAACTTTTGAAGAATAAGAGACAAGGCTTTCATATTTTATATATGTAATCCTTGTGACAAGGCCTTTCTTTAGAAACCTCAGAACAACCTTTATCCTTTGAGCTTGATACTTTGACTAACCTTTAAAAACGTAAATCTTGGTATAACTTTTGAACAGGTGGCACTTTGAGTATCAACATGTTTGATTGCATTTGAGAAAATTTAACCTACGCAATGTTGTCATACGGGGACATCAGTGTTTCACAACCACATCTTGGATTTTGTTTTTTTATGCGCCCGGATCGATAGATCGGTGCGCATATTGTCTTTGTCCTGTTTGTCTGTTTGTTTGTCAACTTTAACCTTTGTCATAAATTTTAAACCATGATAGATATTAAAAGAATGTATACTTGGTATGTATACTGATGAGGAAATAAAGTACATTGACTATTTGGGTAATTTTACCTCGGACAAAAACATTGGAAATGTAAATACATGTATTTATTAATATAAGGAGAAATGAACTGTTACAGAATTTTGTATCAATATATATATATATATATACCAAATTTCATCTGATCATGATATAATAATCTTGTAGGCAGGTTCTGCTTTCCGACATGAAATAAATAGTAAAAATGTTGTCGGTCAGCATTTGAACTATAGTCCTTAGATACATACACACACAGGAGTCATTAGTTTTTTGAAATATTGTTGATTTCAGATTTTTTTTTCTTTTTCTCGATGCAACTCTAATTAAAGGGATAAAAATTTGGTCCAATCATTTTTTTTTCTTTCATCGTTTTATTTTTCATTATGCGTGGAAAACTCTGAATAACAGTATTTCTTAGTCGATTTTGGTCGGAAACATCACAATGTTCCGGAGTTGTTATCCCCCCCGGAAAATATAAGATCCAGGTGATAAGAAAGGGGTCTTTTTGGTACAGCTTTACGGCTCTCTTGATGGCATGAAGCGTCGCGACTTCTTCCTTCATACATTATTTCAAACAGTTCTGGAATTTCCCAACGGGAGAAAACGAGGAGCCTCTTCCCATCCTTGTCAAAGGAAAATTTTCTCTCGACACGATCAGATCCGTCATCGGACCCCGAGTCCTCTTCATCCGATTCCGAATCTTTTTTCTCGGCTTTTTTGTCTTTCTTTGTCGTAAAGTCGATCAAGGTGCGCGCTTTATCCCCGTCTTTCGAAATCTGTACGATCTTTTGCCCAGCACAAAGGTACAAGTTTCCATTTCCATCTAAAGAGATATCTGTTATGGAATCTCTTTGCCACCTAATAAAGTCTGTTTTACGTGTAAATATGAGATCACCACCTATCTCGCTGCAGACAATCAGATTCTTTCTAATATAGTATATTCTACAAAGATCATGGGATAGCGCAAATCGTCCATCCACATTTTGTGGTCCTGCCATTTTTCTCAAAATATCGCCATTTCTGTTTATTTCGGCTATTTCAGATCCATTGCTGCACAAAAGATTTTCATTGAAAAAATGTATACAGCTGATGCTCATTCCAGTGTCTATTTCTCTGGTCAACTTTAGAATGGGATGAATGGAGAATGTGAATAGCTTATGACGTTTCATACCAACAGCTAAATTCTTCTCCGTTGGGTCGGCACATATCGATGTGGGAGGATCGGAAAAGCTGTGAAGCTCTGTGAATTCTGAGCTTTTCTTAACTTCAACCAAAGTACCCCCGCTATAACATGTCTGGTTTAATAGAAAGATTCTTCCCGACGTGAGGACGACTCCGCCATAGAAGTTTTTGTATTCCTCTTCTGATTCTAAGTTACACTGCATGGCTACTTTCTTTGGGACAACATCGGAAGATGGGAATGTTATGTCCTCCAATCCAACGTCCACATACTCCGCAAACAGCTGACACTGCTTGTGGATTCCCGATGTTAGTAAGGTGTCTAACACTTTTTCCACAAGTTCAGCGACAGACTCGACATTTTCAAATTCCTCTATATCAGGATTCATTTGAAGGGTGTGTTCAGTTCTCAGCTCTGACAATTTCAGAAGTTTCCGGAAGTACAGCAAGAGCTGTTGCTTTAGTTTGGCTGCGGCTACAAACCTTTGCTGTTTGCTCCCAACTTGATCCACCGTTTCAAGGATCTGCTTCATTTCACGAAGTAAACGTAGAAATCCTTTAAATCTCATCTGAATATTGTTAAGTGTGTTCCCATCAGAAACTTGGATGTCTTTGTGATGCAATTCATAATTTTTCTGCAGTTTTTCTAAGTTCTCCTGGAACTTTAAGACAAAAGTCGATACTTTTTCCTCCAAACATCCGAATACCCCTGTTTTCACCTTTTCATCCACAGCCTCAATTGCTGCACTGGTTTCCTCCTTGATACTCTTAATTAATGTTTTCAAGATAGCTATTTCCACATTTTTATTCTTTACTCTACTTTCAAATACCTGGTCGATTGTCCTCACTTTAAGACAGGTTTTGTGACCGTCAGATATACAAAGGTTACAGCAGAGTACATCGTGGTCATGACAGTACAATTCCAGTTGTTTATTGGGGTGGACTGGGCAGGGTTCGGTTACTTCTATTTGAGATGATTCAAAATACTCATTTATCGATAAAACCTGATGACGGTCGTGATCGGAGATTCTCCGGTGCAGATATTTGTTGCACATCTCGCACAGGCTCTGTCGGCAAGCTCTGCAGTGGAAAATAGCCTCTCTCTTCTCGTTGACCACACGGCAAGGGTCGCAACTCTTCCGAGCTTTGTTCCCATCTCCAGAACAAATCAGATTTTCGATCAGACGATTTATCGGAAAAAACTCAACCAAATCCCGAGGGGACAGATTCTGTGAGAAAAGGGTAAATTCCTCTAAACATACTGGACACTCCAATGTTAGATTTTCGCCATACTTCGATTTCTTTATTAAATTGTTTATGCACAGGCTACAAAAGGTGTGTTGACAAGGAAAATCTCTTGGATTGTCTATTTGTTTCTTACACAGAAAACACGGGAAAATATCCGACCCAACAGCATCCATCTTCTTGTGTAGCCTGTATTCAGTTGTATCTTTACCCTTTCAATCTCCTGTTGTATTATTGACCATGGCATTGCATAGCAATCCGGATATTTGACCGTGCATATTTGAGTTGTATAATTTTGAGACTAGAGAGTTCCGATAATAAAATGAAGTAAAACGTGCTTGAAGTCGAAGTCATTTGTCAAGAGAATTGTTTGCATTATTATATGTTGCCAAGCGAGTAAACATACATATAACATGGTGGAGAATTTAAAGAAGAAGATTGTGAGTTAACATCTGATTAGACATTTTGTGAGTGTGTGACAGAAAGTGAGAAAATCACGGGGGAAGGCGCGACTGACATTTTGCCGCCATTTTCAGTCGAGGTGTGTATCATCGGAATTGATCGTCATGCACATATAATACTTGACTCTTTACCACTGTACAATGGCTACCTATCAAGACGATACTAATCCTCCTGAAATTAGTCGAGTTCTACCATCCCTAGACGATTTGTGTAATACACCTGCACCAAAGTCACACATGTTTAGGGAGGAACCATTGCACCTAACATATGACTGTCCCCCACATCAATCTACCCCATACGTAGAACCGCCAAGGGCACCTGTACTCCATTCGGCACCAATCATTCCCATTACCCTTACAAAGTTTAGTGGGTTTGCCCATGAGGATGGAGAGAAGTTTTTATCGGACTTCAAAGCCATCATGACTTTACAAGGAATCACACAGGATCATCCCAAAGTTTCTGCTTTTTCTCTATATTTAGCAGGACCAGCCTTTTTGTGGTTCGATACGTTACCAGTCATGACAAAATCATCCTGGCACCGGATTGAAGCCGAATTTAAACTTAAGTATGTGTCCTTCACTCTCCATATGAATGGATCTCTCATAGCGGACACTGAGGCATTTAACAGCCTCAAACTGAAAACTACTGTTGAGGAGTTTTATTTCCACATACTCAAACTAGGAAAAAAACTCAAGAAGTCACCGCTTGATTTGATGACGAAATTCATTGACGGGCTTCCGACACAGCTACAATTTTTTGTTCGGGCAGGGAGACCTACCGACATTGACGAAGCACTGCAGAGTGCACGGGTAGGGGAGTCAGTGGGATATGGTAGCGCTGTGAGTAGATGCAATGCAATTTTAGCAACTCAACCCAGCTCATCTTTACAGGACCAAATTAATGATCTCACGGTAAAGATGACATCCTTGACAGAAATGTTGAAACAGCCACCCCAACCTCCTCGTCCACAGACTAGGCAGCAACGCACTGAGGGGAACAGGATCATCTGTTATACCTGCCATGGTCCAGGACACCGCCGAAGTGAATGTCAGTGGACGGGGGCGACACCCAGTAATCCGGAAGCACAATGCCAACTGTGCCAACAGTATGGACACATTGCGACAGACTGTGCCTTGTTCCCTCGTTCGCAACCGGAAAACCAGAGAGGCTCGGGCGCCACCGGACGCGGGCGAACCAAGAAGGGCAATTAAAGCGTCACCGGAGTCGATCCCCTAGTCGCAGTCGTATACCAGCTGTGAACGCGTGTGAATACCATGACAAGCCGTGTACATGTGACTTTATTTCAACTGATAGTGACAGTTCCTCACGCTCACGCTGCAGTGCACATGTAACTGATATTGACAGTAGTGTATCTGCAGACAATATGCGCGAGTCTTACAAGCCGTGTGCATGTGACTTTATTTCCTCTGATAGTGACAGTGTTTTAGGAATGGCAAATTGTATTCACAATGATGTTCACAATAATTTATCAACTTGTACTGATACAGACAGTACTGATATTGTCAATGATGAATGTTTAGATGTTATACATGATGTTTCAAAGCTTTTGTACATGCCAGTGTCTGTGAAACATGTAAAAATCTCTGCTTTGTTAGACAGCGGTAGTACAATCAATATTATGTCATATGCATTGTTTAGTTCACTGCCAAAGAAATCTTGTACCCCATTACTTACCTGTTGTACGGATAATGAGATTGTTGTTGCTAGTGGTCAGAGAGTTGACATAGTGGGTACTTCATGTGTGAAACTTAGAGTTCCCTCTGGGAAGCATTCAGTTCTTGTTTATGTACTTAGACATACCTCACATCCTTTGATTTTAGGTACAGAATATTTAAAATCGCATAAGATAGTGTTGAATTTTGGAAATTGTTCTGTGCAATTTAAAAACTGTAATTTGAAGTGTGGTGCTTATGTTGAATTACCTCCTAACAAAGAGAGTATTGTACAAGTTCGAGTACCTAGATCTGTTTTTGTTGGTACTCAAGGTATTTGTATGACATCAAACAAAGCATTGAAATTAGGATTGTTGGTCGCTAGAGCAATTGTTACTGTGTCATATAATCATGTACTTTGTTTGAAAGTTTGTAATACTACTACTTCTCGTATTCTGTTGAAGAAAGGAGACCTTTTAGCCAAACTGTCACCGTTAGATGACTCATGTCATGTTATTTCATTACAGGGTAGTAGACAAGCTTATGACCAATGTAACAATGTAGATATCAAGTCTAATGCAGTTCAGACATTTATGTCAAATTTTGATTTAGACAAACAGTGTTCACATTTGTCTGATTCTCAGATATCTCAATTGTCACAAACACTTTATGAACATAAAAATTTGTTTGTTACAAAAGAAAATCCAAGTTTAGGGTTCACCACACTGGTCCAACACCATATCCATCTTAAACCAGACTCTAAACCTAAACATCAGCGTCCATATCGGTTAAACCCAGACAAGAAGGAAGTGTTACGTCATCACTTACAGGAGCTCTTACATCAAGGTATCATTGCACCTGTAGAAGCTGATGAAAATGTTCCCATCACTAGCCCTATTGTGCTCGTAAGCAAACGTAAGAAACCAAAAGCGGGTGTTCACCCTGGTTCCAAAGAGTCAAGTCTGTCTATGTATCGTTTCTGCTGTGACTTCCGTTATTTAAACTCCCAGTCTGAACATTTTAGATATACTATACCTGACTTACAGGAGTTGGCGGAATCTTTCACCCATCGTATACCAAACTTCATATCATCTATTGACTTGAGCTCTGGATTCTTTCAGATGGGCATAGCTCCAGAATCTTCCAAGTATACAGCATTTAACACCTGTTTTGGCACCTATAAATTCCTTCGCTTACCAATGGGACTCAGCACAGCGCCAAACTCATTTCAGCTCTTGATGGACAAAGTTTTACATGGACTTACCTTTCGTTCAGCATTATGTTATCTTGACGATGTGATTATATGTTCTGATACCTTTGAATCACATTTAAAGGACCTTACAGAGCTGTTTGACCGATTCCGACAGGCTGGCCTTAAACTTAATCCCAGCAAGTGCACATTTGCACAAAGGAAGTGTCTTTTCCTTGGACATGTGATCTCCAAAGATGGTCTGTCCCCTCCCCCAGATAGGGTAGATGCCATACAGAAATACCCAGCACCATCATCTGTGTCATCACTTCGACGTTTCTTGGGCATGGTGGGCTGGTTTCGGAAGTATATTCCAAATTTTTCCTCTATTGCTGATCCACTTTTCTTCCTTCTCAAGAAAGGTGTGCATTTCCGGTGGACCAAACAGCATGAGGTATCGTTTCAAGAACTAAAGAAGCAACTTTCGAACTCACCAATACTTGCATACCCTCGTTTTGATCTGCAGTTTCGCATTGCTGTGGATACATCAAGTCGGGGCATTGGGTTCATGCTGTACCAAAATCATCCAGGAGAGGATAACTTGGAAACTCCACATGTCGTACGTTATGGTTCCAAAGGACTGTCCAAATGGCAGCGTTCTTATGGACCAACAAAGTTGGAACTCTTGGGAATGACATACGCTGTTTTGGAATGTGCGTCATACATCAGAGGAACCCATTTCATAGTGGAATGTGACCATCAAGCTCTGAAACCCCTGTACCAGAAGAAACTCAAGGGTGCCATTTATGAGCGCTGGTTAGCCATTCTACAGGAGTTTAATTTTGATATTGTTTACAAGCCAGCGAAGGAAATGTGTGTACCTGATTCATTATCTCGTGACTTACCAGATAACAGTGACGCCAGTTTTGACAGTCCAGATCAGGAAGATCTCTTCTTTCCCTACATTAAAGAGGAAACTGGACAAATTCATTTTCCGTGTGGGAAACCCCTGACTCCGCATCTGATCAACACTGGTCACAAGGAGCTTAATCATCTCAGACTGGACACAAAACCTCATCAAGACAATGGATATGATGCAGATACCGATGAGCCAACTGCAAAAATATTTCCAAAACCACCTAAGAAATCTCTGGATTTCCTACCATGGAGGAAATATCCCAATGGAAAGCCATTTCCTAAATCACCATTGGAAAAACCAGACAAAGTTGACCATGTAATGAGTGCATGTGATAGTGACACTGTTACTCACAATACCAACAAAAGTGATATTGACACTGTTGTAAGTGAAACTAATGGACACTCAAATATTTGTGCACCTTTGATCTGTGACAACAAACTTGGTGATAGTGATACTTGTACTATTGATCATCCTAAAAGTGCGAATGACCATCACATTGACACTGTGCTTTATGATAAAACAAGTGAAAATGACACTTATACTGACCATCATACTGACACTGTGCTTCATGATAATTTTAGTGCTACTGACACTTCTACTCATGTTCACAAAATTAGTGCTAGTGATATTGATTCTGACACTGTGATTCAGGAATCAAGGAATACCGATGCTATAAGTGATAGTAACCATGGATATCACGACCTTGTTAACTCTGATACTGTACTTGACGATAGTGTGACAGACAGATACAATGCTGATACCGTAATTGAGAATGAGACCTCGGACAGAATACCTGACAAACCTGTTCAGGATAGTGCACTGGAGCTACTTACCAAAACAGACCTTTCTCTGTCCAGCATTGCCATGTTACAGAAATCAGATCCTGATTTGAGACTTATTCTAGATTATTTGCAGCAAGACAAACTACCACTT